CCAGCATCAACGCTCTGCATAATGAGGACTCCCCCCGCCCAGACATGTCATCAAAAGTCAAACTCCACCATCCACGTGTATCCCAGATTCACACGGACAGGATGAAAGCGTTCACGGCCGACTGCATCTTCCACGGAGAAAAGAGAGAGGGCAGGAAGTCTCCGTACCGTTACGAGGAAGAAACACAGAGGCACCAGAAACCGGGATAGCGTTTCCTACGTTACACCGTGGGCGTCAGGCTGCAGGTCTTCGGCAGGCGGGACAGGTACTCTGTCCCAGGACCCACCCGCACTCCCTCCCACAGAGGGGCTTTGCTCTCTATGACCCCTGGTCTCATTCCTGCTGAACTCCCTCCAATGTCAGATTGCAAGTTCACGGCAAACCAGAACAGTTCACAACAGGGTTTAGAATATTGAACCCCTGCAGTGAGTGCCTTTCGACGCAGCTCTGCCTTCCCTTGTCACGGGAACTTGGGTCAAAACATCAGCGTTGGGCCCGTGTCAAGGAAGGTCTGTGGTCCCAACAGCTATTTATCTCATCTTAGTAGACTGGCCAAAGAGGCAAAGCCCTGTTTCCAGGGACTAGAAAGGTTCCCTCCCCCCACATTCTGTGTTACCCGTAAGTAACTAGTCCTGAGCTTAACATCAGACAATAGTTAGTTTAACTGGGGGCACCTGGGTGGCTCAGTCGGTTAAGCGTCTGACTTCAGCTCAGGTCATGATCTCACGGCTCGTGAGTTCGAGCCCCACGTCGGGCTCTGTGCTGACAGCTCAGAGCCTGGAGCCTGTTTCAGATTCTGTGTCTCCCTCTCTCTCTCTGAAACTCCCCCGTTCATCCTCGGTCTCTCTCTGTCTCAAGAGTAAATAAACGTTAAAAAAATTTTTTTAAAAATAATAATAATTAGTTTAACTGTCTGGCTTCCCCAATGCACTAAGAGCTTCCCTAGGTATCTTTTGGGGGTGAGAGATATTTTCTAAAACTCGATTGTGGTAATGTACGCCTACCTCGATTCATTTATGAAAAATCATTGAACTGGACACTTAAAACAGGCGAATTTCATAGTATATAAAGTATGTCTCAATCCAACTATTTCTTTTTAAACTCCACTATCCATTAGGGTGTGGCCTTGAGCAAACTGCCTCTCTGAGCCTCCGTTTCCTCGCCTGTGAAATGAAACAATACTTGGTATTATACAACAGGTGTGGGGTTTGTTTTTTTATTTTTATTTTGTTAGTTTATTTGAGAGAGACAGAGACAGCATGAGTGGGGGAGGGGCAGAGAGCGAGGGAGAGAGAGAGAATCCCAAGCAGGCTCCACACCACCAGAGCAGAGCCCAACATGAGGTTCGAACCCAAACCTCTGAGATCATGACCCGAGCCGGGGTCGGGCACTTAACCGACTGAGCCGCCCAGGCGCCCCTAGTCGTGTGGTTTAAATGAACTTATGTGTGGAAGGCCCTTTGGCAAACACTCCACGCGTGTCGGTTGCTATTTCTATTGTCTTATTTTGTTTGTCCAGCACAAAAGATACAATGGAGGGGAAAGAAAAAAATAGTGTGGAAGAAAGCCTGGGTGCTGTGGTAAGTAGAAAAGTATCTCCCCAAGTATGTTCATGCCCTGGTCCCCAGAACCCGTGAGTATGTCACCTCACGGAACAGAAGGCCTTTGGCGATGTGATTGAATCAGGGACCTTGAGTTGGGGGATATTATCCTGGATTAGCCCAGTGGGCACTATGTAAACACAAGGGTTCTTAAAAGATGGAAGAGGAAGGGGCGCCTGGGTGGCTCAGTCGGTTAAGCGTCCGACTTCGGCTCAGGCCACGATCTCACGGTCCGTGAGTTCGAGCCCCGCGTCCGGCTCTGGGCTGACGGCTCAGAGCCTGGAGCCTGCTTCCGATTCTGTGTCTCCCTCTCTCTCTGCTCCTCCCCCGTTCATGCTCTGCGTCTCTCTGTCTCAAAAATAAACGTTAAAAAATTAAAAAAAAAAAATATGGAAGAGGAAGTTAGAGTTGGAGAGAGAGAACTCTTGGAAGATACTGATACTGCCTTGGAGGATGAAGGAAGGGGCCATGAGCCCCGGAGAGCAAGCTGTCTCTAGAACTTGGAAAAGGCAAGGAAACGGACGCCCTCCCAGCATCTCCAAAACAAACATGGCCCTTTTGACACCTTGACTCTAGCCTGGTAAAACCCACTTCGAACTTCCGACCTCCAGAATTGCAGGATAACAACTTTGGATTATTTTATGCCACTAAGTTTGTAGTAATGGGTTACAGCAGCGATAAGAAATCAATACAGGCACGGGGGCACCTGGGTGGCTCAGTCAGTCAGGCATCCAACCTCGGCTCAGGTCATGATCTCGCAGTTCACGAGTTTGAGTCCCGCGTGGGGCTCTGTGCTGACAGCTCGGAGCCTGGAGCCTGCTTCAGATTCTGCGTCTCCCTCTCTCTCTGCCCCTCCTCCACTTGCACTCTGCCTCTCAAAATAAATAAACATTTTTGAAAAAGAAAGAAAAAAGACATCAGTATGGGCGCCGTGTTGTGGAAAGCCTTGAATGTCAGGGTGAGAGTAGATCTAAGAGGGAGAGTCTGATATTGATATCTGGAGTGTGTAAGATGCCCTGGAGTAGCAGCAGGAAGGCAGCAGGTGGCCAGGAAGGATGCTATTCCTTTTTTGAAAAAAATAATATATACAGTCTTCTATTAGTTTCAGGTGTACAATACAATGATTCAACAATGCTCAGGGCTCATTCAACATTTCTCAGGGCTCATCAAGATAAGTGTACTCTTAATCCCCTTAATCGATTTCACCTGGTAAGAGGTTAACATCCCAAATATAAAAAGAATTTTGGGGGCACCTGCATGGCTCAGCTGGTTAAGCATCTGACTTCGGCTCAGGTCGTGATCTCACAATTCATGAGTTCGAGCCCCTCGTCGGGCTCTGCGCTGACACTGTGGAGCCTGCTTCCGATTCTTCCTCTCCTTCTCTCTCTGCCCCTCCCCATCTTGTGCGTGTAAACTTTTTTAAAAATCCAAACTACAAAAAGCATTTTTGTAACCCAATACAAAAAACACAAGTAATCTGATTAAACATGGGCAGAGAACCTCAAGAGATAGTTTTCCAAAGAAGGGCACCATTCATGTGGAACAGGGCGGGGAACAGGTGGGGAGGCAGGCTAGCGGGGAAGGGCGTGTGGAGGAGCTGGTGGTGTTGGGAGAGCGGGTGGATAAACCCTATGTCACTTAGCAATCGCCCGGAGGCAAGATCCAACAGAGAAGACCCAAAGAGGACAATAAGCCTGGCCCATGGGAGCACAGTGACGCCATCCACGGGGGTCATGAGAGCTGGTTGCCGCGGCGGGGGCAGGGTGCCCAGAGGGGGTGGGGACACGGAGAAGCTCAGTGAGAGCCTCGAGCAAGGCTCAAAGCTTGGGTCAAACAGGAGTGCAGGTGGCGGCAAGGATGCCGCTTTGGGACACCCGAGTGCCAAGGCGAAAGCCAAAAGCACCAGCATGGTAGGGAAGAGTGTGCAGGAGACAGACAGCTTGAGTAACAGACACGTTTAGGGGTTGGAAGAAGGAGAAGAAGCAAACCAGAAGACAGACAAGCCAAAGGAGAGGAGGGTTTTGAAGAAGCCACCAGGGACCCCTCCAGGGGCTGATTCGACACTGTAGTGACAGCAAGAATCAGATTGCAAAGGGTGAGTGGAAATAAAGGAGTAGAAAAGAACAGACCCATGTTAAGATGGAGAAGGCAAGGAGAGGACCTACATGGCAGCTTGGTCAGAGAGCAGAGAGGAAGAAAAGCATTTCTCAGAATCGAAGGCTCCCGAACATGCCTGAACGCTTGGGGGAGCACTGGGGTAAATGGTAGATTAGGACTGGGGGGGAAGGGATGGAGAATTAAGGGATGTGAAGGACATGGTGTTAACAAAGAGAAGAGTCATTTCCTCTCAAGAGAAAGAAGTTGGGGCCTCTGGGTGGCTCAGTCGATGAAGGGTCTTCGGCTCAGGTCACAATCTCGTGGTTGGCGGAGTTCGAGCCCCGCGTCCGTCTCTGTGCCGACGGCTCAGAGCCTGGAGCCAGCTTCGGATTCTGTGTCTCCCTCTCCCTCTGCCCCTCCCCCACCTGCACCCTGTGTGTGTGTGTCTCTCTCTCTCAAAAATAAACATTAGGAAAATGTTTTTAAAAAGAGACAAGAGCAAGAGCATGATAATAAAAACGGACACAGGTGTTCACGGGAAAAAGGTAAGGTTGACAAGAGCTCGCCTTGGGTAGCCTCAAGCTTTGACAGCGAATTGAGAGAGGCCAGCAGAGCCTTGCAGAGTCCGGGGAAACATGGAGAGAGGTCTGCTTTGGATGTCGAGAAGGGAAACTTCCCTGAGAGCCCAGCCAAGATTAGACCCTCCCCAGAGGCCACCAGCCAGCCATGCATCCCCTGCAAGGTAACACACACGAGGCTCATCTGCCAGGTTGACCTGGTCACAAATCCTGAACTGTCGTTCCCATTGCTAAAGTCCACTTGTCTGATCCTCCCAAGTTCTTGAGGAAGGAGACCGTCTGGAGTTCAAGCCTCCGTGCGCCCCGGCTCCTGGATCACAGCACCTGCCCCAGTGGGAACCGTGTGATGGTGGAGAGGAATAGAAGGACTAGAAGAGAAGCAATATTTCAGCATGTCCCGACATACTGGCTAAAACTTGCTCTGAAGAGCCACGTGGGTGGCTCAGTCGGTTGAGCATCCGACTTCGGCTCAGGTCATGATCGCACCGTCCGTGACTTGGATCCCCACGTCGGGCTCTGTGCTGACAGCTCGGAGCCCGGAGCCTGCTTCGGATTCTGTGTCTCCCTCTCTCTCTGCCCCTGCCCACTTGCACTCTCACCCTGTCTCTCAAAAATGAATCAATGTTAAAAAAAATTTACTTTTATTTTTATTTATTTATTTTAAAGAAAGGCAGACTGCTACGTGCGGCGCCTCATTTGGATGTGTCTGGAGCCTTGGAAGCCTGACTACCCTACGTTCTCCTACAAATGGGCCTTGAGAACTTGTTTGGAGGTTCTAGCAGGGGAGCGCAGCTACTCGTATACCCTTGACCGAAGAACAGTCCTCCTCTATCGGGGAAGGTCGTCCTCTTCGGCCGAGGGCGCAGCTTTGGGAGGGACACACATGGAGAGGTGAGGGAGGAAGGGGACACCCGCCTAGCCAGCCAGATCAGCCGAATCAACCCTGGCAATCAATGGGGTGACAGAGGTCGCGGCCAGATGGCCCTCACATCCTAAAAAAAAATTTTTTTAACTTGCTTTAAAGAAACACAGTACATAAAAAACACAGAACAGACAAATTAGAGTGTGACCATGCTTTATGGAACTTCTTTAAATACTGAGCTCCCTTAGTGCATTTTAAAAATAATTTGCTTCACAGAAATCCATTTTGGAGGCAACTCCTAAAGAAATATTTCCAGGGTATACAAATTATTTAACACCAGCACAGACAGGCTTGTAAATGAAAGCCGTCACGGGCCCACCAGAAGGAGCCCCACACGCTGTGCTGTGGAGCAGAGAAGGAGGCTAAGGCAGCCCTCGTTAACTAGACTATAAAAGTGCTCGGGGCCCCCTCGGGGGACCTGGCACATTTCTAAACGTGTGGGAAAGCTCTCAAGTTCTCTGGAACCCCGGACTTCACCAGAACATCCCTCATCTTGGTGTCTAAGGTTGTTACTAAACCTGCCAATCAGGGCTCTGCCTCGTCTCCCCAACTTAGCACACAATCCTGGAAGGTCAAGTTGTGACCAACTGTCCCTTTGAGCCTTGCTGACTCCCTACCCCCATAGTCACACACTTGACTATGTGTGTGAGTAACCAGCACCAAGGTAGGGCCGTGTCCTGATTAGGACCAAGCCCTGGAGTACTAAAGACCTGCTTTTGTATCCTGGCCCCACCTCCTACTAGCTGCAAAATCTCACAAAAATCACCTAACCTTTGCAAAGAGATTGTCAGTTGTACCAACTTCGAAGGTTTGTTATACACACAACACCTATCACATCCTGGAAGGGCTCATTAAGTTTCAGTATTGTTATTAAGTCTTTAATGAAGTCTTTAACGAATATTTGATTGGCCTATAGGGCCGAAAGGGAATTCACAAGACGCCCATAGTCGAAACTACTCAAATAGTGTTCAGATTTACCCATCTGGCTCATCCGCCAACCAAATCGACTAGAGAAAGAAACCGACAAAATGGGGCGGTCTCTCCCCAAGGAAGTTCTACAGGGACACAGAATACAGAGGTTCAAATATTTTTTAATAAACCAGGAAAGCAGTAAGAAAAACCTGCCCATCAAAACGGTAGCAAAGAGGGGCGCCTGGGTGGCGCAGTCGGTTAAGCGTCCGACTTCAGCCAGGTCACGATCTCGCGGTCCGTGGGTTCGAGCCCCGCGTCAGGCTCTGGGCTGATGGCTCAGAGCCTGGAGCCTGCTTCCGATTCTGTGACTCCCTCTCTCTCTGCCCCTCCCCCCTTCATGCTCTGTCTCTCTCTGTCCCAAAAATAAATAAACGTTGAAAAAAAAAAAAACGGTAGCAAAGAGGCAACGAGGAAGCCAACCTTGTCATTCATCTGCTTTCACTGGGAGTTCAGGGCTGCAGACTGTTCTTTTGCATAATGATGGGTAATGCCAGCCCCTCCCCAACATCAGAGTATCCCTACCGGCAGAACCAAATACTCTGAGCTAACTGTGCTATGGAGGGGAGGGGGGAAAGAGAAGCAGGGGGAATGGGGGTGTCACTGGTTTCAACTTAAATGATAGAATGCAGGTATTAGTATCTATCACACAGAAGGGCTCGATAAACGTTAGGTATTAGTGCAACGTTCGTGGTCTATATTGAAGGAGCAAGTTTATGTCCTAGGACACCTTCCAGAACCTGGTTCTACGCCATTCAGTTGATGTGCGGAGAAGATGAAGTTTGACGAGCTAGGGATCCTTACTATGCCGATAAGAGGAAATGGAATGGACTTGAGGCATCATGCCAACATCTGGCAAGTGTCTGTCGGCCAGGAGCTGCTGTCAGTGGTCCTTATCCTGGGTAAGGAAGACAAGGGGAAGAACACAGGACCAAAGAGGCAGCCTGCACCTGCCACTGAGAGGGCAGCAGACCAGGAGGGGTAGAGGCAGGAACTGGGATCACTGGGAGACCAGCAGGCCGACTGTGGAGATGGGACACCCAGCTGGACAAGGGCCCAGCATCATGACAGGAAGAAGGGCTGAAGAGGGTGGCTTGGCTTCACTCAAGAGCCATAAGGCCCTTAGCTGGAGCCCCCATCTCCTAGAAGTTTCCCCGAATGCCTAACACAAAAGCAAAAAAGAGAAGGACCCTTCTCTAGACCCTCCACAGCCAGAGTTCCTTTGGCCGCTCATGTGGAAATCTAGAAGAAAAGCGAGACTGCAGACACCAGGGAGATGACATCGAGCAACAAGGAGTGCCCAAGAAATGCTAACATGAGAAATGGAAGAGCCTGCAATGTCATGGCCCTCTCTGCCTGGCATTGTTGGCAACAAATACATAAAAGAGAAGATTTTTACCAGGGTAATACATGTGCATAATCTAACATGGTGAAGCGCTCTGAGAGCAGAGGCAGCTTCCAGAAGCTTGTGAGGGAAACGGAAGCCCTGTGAAGGACAGGGGGAACTCCCCAAAGCTCCAGGTGAGGGCCGGCTATTTGGGGTCTGTGGGTGTCAGCCTTGGGAAACATTAAAATCATTGCTCAGGAGTAGTTATGTTGGTTATGAAGGCACATCGAAAATGAGCTTCGATATTTCAGCTTTTTTTCTTTGCCTTTTTAATTTTAACTAGAGCATGCTCTATGCAGGGAAACACATTTCATTTCTACAAGAACAAGTAACAAGAAGCCTAAGCTGCCAGCACCTGTTCCATAGGAATTCATGGTATAAGAAGTGTCATAAAAAAAACAAACAAACAGACTTTAACGACACAGGACCCATCACAGACACCCTCGTACCAAACTAGACAAGGCCATGGAGGAAAACTGAGAGGTCTCAGACCCCTGACCCACACTGACAATTAACAATCCTATGCAAGTTTACGCCCATCTCCTGTATTTCAAGTAACATGGCGCCACGCCATTTTTTCTAAACACATCTCCTGGTGCTTCCTGTTTGAATATTCTATGGTGCTCTGCCGCCCCAGATCCTGAGCACACCTCAAGTGCCGGAATGATATTCTTTTGCTTCTGTTGTTTCCTGCATGTAGTAACCCTGCACAGTAGGAAAATCAACACATAATAAAATTTTAAAGTACTACTACATTTTCTATGAAGACAGAAAAATCTTTCTAAACTCTTCAAAGATCACTTTTCTAAGGTGTTAATTTTCTAAATCCCCACGCTAAGTGGGCTTGTAGGTCAGTTGACTCAGTTGGCCAACATGATTCTACAGAGAAGCCAAAACCGTGGTTTGTCAAATGATTCAGCATGCCCAGCCCTCACCAGCTAACACTAAATGTGCCTCAACATCAGCAGGGTTTGGAGCAGAGAGCGCGGACTGTTTACAACAAAACACCCCCTTTGTTAAAACCAACAGAACCACCCTCAAAACGCCTCTCCTACCAAAAGTAGGCTAGCCTTAGAAATCAGAGATCAGGAGAGGTAGGGAAAATGCAAATTCAGGACAAAGGAGACAGGACTTGGTGTCTATTCTGAATCTAAGCTCTGCCTGAGTGTCACTGTAGCACTGAAATCAAGTTTTAAGCTTAAATAGGAGTGACACTCTCTTCCAACAAGCTCATTTTATTGCATGAATAACTAGACAATGTTGGAGAGGACTCTCCCCTAAAGTTCTAACTATAATGACACGACACCGATCTTTTTTTAAAATTTTTTTAATGCTTATTTATTATCGAGAGAGACAGAGCATGAGCAAGGGGAGGGGCAGAGAGAGGGGGAGACAAAGAATCTGAAGCAGGCTCCAGGCTCCGAGCACAGAGCCCGATGCGGGCCTCGAACCCACAAACCATGAGATCATGACCTGAGCCGAAGTCGGTCACTCGACCGACTGAGCCACCCAGGTGCCCCTCGACACTGATATTTTCAACAGACTCTCCAGTGAGCATGGGGGCCACTTAAGGAAGCCACAGGACCTACTACTGCTGTCATTGCTCCAGACACTTGGGAGAACCTTCTTCTGAATGTCCTTCGAAGCCAGTGACAAGGAATAAATATCAACCAGGTCACTGCATAATGACACACGTGGTCTGGCCAACTTGGTCAGTCACTGGCCCACCCGATTTGACTCTAAAACAGCCAGTAGCTGATGCTAAAACTATTCCTGCCCTCCAAAGACAGAGACTTGTCACCAGGGAGTATATTCCTGAGGATGTCTCAAGGGGCTCAAGACCGCTCCCCCAAAAAAGAGTCCTTCCTGGAGCGAAGGCAGCTTTCTTAGAGAAAAGATGATTAATTTGCAGGTCCTTCAATCCCGCTGGGCTGAACTGGATTTCAGAGTGACCTGTGTACCCGATCCTTTAAATCCCAGCTCAGTCAAGGGACCTTTCCAGGAAACAGTGCTCCTACCAGCCTCCTCAGAAAGAATTAATCCCCCTCCTCTGACCTTGTACCTTATACTTCTGCCGCAGGGACCGTCCCTCATAATCCATTGCCACAATCATCATCACTGTCTACAGGGGCCCCTCTCCATGCACTGAAATGGGGTTAAACTATCTTTTCACCCCTTCAACTCAGACCCAGTATGAACTACGCTCTCTGGCACCTAGGAGGTTCTCAGCTAACATTCGCTGTATTGGAATATTTTAGTTCCAGTAGGGGAATCGCATTACTTTATCATCTGCCTTGTCCTCTGTACAGCACCCACCCATTCAGCAGGCACGTACCTGGGACCAGACTGTGCCTGGCATGAGCCGACATGAAAGTGCTAGCAATGTTTTCTGGACCCGTCCACTGCAGGTTTTGGGTGTTTTTGTTTCGTTCCCTTTGTAACCATTTGTTAAAAGTCAACACAGGCAAGAGCACCACCCTTTCCCCCCACCCCTGCTCATGCAGAAACAAAGAAGGTTCAAATACATCCAACAAAACACACTCTCATGTCTAAAATGACTAAGAGTCTGGGCTGCCTGGGTGGCTCATTCAGTTAAGCACCAGACTCTTGATTTCAGCTCAGGTCAGGATCTCACGGTTCGCGAGTTCAAGCCCCGCACGGGGCTCTGCACTGATGGTGCGGACTCTGCTTGAGATTCTCTCCCTCTCCTTCTCTCTCTCTCTGCCCCTCCCCCACTCACGATCTCTCTCTCTCTCTCTCTCTCTCTCTCTCTCTCTCAAAATAAATAAGTAAGCTTAAGAAAATAAATAAAAAATAAAATAAAATGGGGGTGCCTGGGTGGCTCAGTCGGTTGAGCGTCCGACTTCAGCTCGGGTCATGATCTCACAGTCTGTGAGTTCGAGCACCACGTCGGGCTCTGTGCTGACAGCTCAGAGCCTGGAGCCTGTTTCCGATGCTGTGTCTCCCTCTCTCTCTGACCCTCCCCCATTCATGCTCTGTCTCTCTCTGTCTCAAAAATAAATAAACGTTAAAAAAAATTTTTTTTAAACAAAAAAATAAAAAAATAAAATAAAATGACCGAGACGATAATGCAGCCATACTTCTGTCTACAAACAAAGGCAGCGCATGAGATCTGAAAAGCATAGGCCACTATGATGATGGGTTATGCAGTTAAAACCTTTTTTTCTTTTTTCTTTCCTTTAAAAAAATTTTTTTTAAATCTTTTAATGTTTATTTATTTTTGAAAGAGCGTGAGAGAGTGGGGGAGGGGCAGAGAGAGAGGGAGGCACAGAATCGGAAGCTGGCTCCAGGCTCGGAGCTGTCAGCATAGAGCCCGACGCGGGGCTCAAACTCACGAACTGCGAGGACATGACCTGAGCCGAAGTCGGACGCTCAACCGACTGCGCCACCCAAGCGCCCCTAAAAATTTTTTTTAACGTTTCTTTATTTTTGACAGAGAGAGGTAGAGCGTGACTGGGGGAGAGGCAGAGAGAGAGGGAGACACGGAATCCGAAGCAGGCTCCAGGCTCTGAGCTGTCGGCACAGAGCCTGACGCGGGGCTCGAACTCACAAGTTGTGAGATCATGACCTGAGCTGATGTCGGACGCCCAACCAACTGAGCCACCCAGGCGCCCCTTTTCTTTCCTTTTTTTAAACCATTTTAACCATTTTTTAAAATTTTAATTCCAGCATAGTTAACGTACAGTGTTCTATTTAACAAGTTACAGGTGTATGATACAGGGATTCAACAATTCTGTACATTACTCTGTGCTCATCATGGTAAGTATACTCTTAATCCCCTTTACCTATTTCACCCATCCCCCCACCCACCTCCCGTCTGGTAAACGTTAGTTTGGTCTCTATAGTTAAGTCCATTTTTTTGCTTTTTTTGTTGTTGTTCAACTGTTTTGCTTCTTAAATTCCACATAGGAGTCAAGTCATATGGTGTTTATCTTTCTGTGACCAACTTACTTCACTTAGCATTATACTCTCTAGACCCATCCATGTTGGTGCAAATGGCGAAAGTTCATTCTTTTTATGGCTGAATAATATTCCATTGTATATATATCTACATCTTCTTTAGCCATTCATCTATCAGTGGATAGTTGGGCTGCTTCCATAATTTGACTATTGTAAATAATGCTGCAATAAACATAGGGGTGCATATAACTTTTTGAAGTAGTGTTTTCAAACTCTTGGGGCAAATACCCAGTAGTGGAATTACTGGATCATATGGGATTTCCAGTTTTCATTTCATTTTTAATTTTTTTTTATATTTTTGAGAGAGAGAGAGAGAGGAGAGGGGCAGAGAGAGGGGGAGACCCAGAATCCGATTCAGGCTCCAGGATCTGAGCTGTCAGCACAGAGCCTGAGGGCTTGAACCCACAGACCGTGAGATCATGACCTGAGCCAAAGTCAGACGCTCAACCAACTGAGCCACCCAGGCGCCCCTCCAGTCTTCATTTTTTGAGGACCTCCATACTGTTTTCCACAGTGGCTGCCCCAGTTTGCATTCCCACCAACAGTGAACGAGGGTTCCTTTTTCTCCACATCCTCGCCAATACTTGTTGTTTCTTGGGCTTTTTATCTTAGCCATTCTGACAGACGCGAGGTGATATCTCATTGTGGCTTAATTTGCATTTCCCTGATGCCATTTTAATCATGGTTAAGTGTGTAGTTCAGTGACATTAAATCCGTTCACACTGCTATGCAGCCATCACTGCCATCTACCTCGAGGACTTTTTTATGATCGCAAACTGCAATTCTTTACGCATTAAACAAAAACACCCCGTCCCCCCTCCCCTCAACTCCCGGCAACCATTCTATCTTCTGTCTCTGTAAATCTGACGACTCTAAATGCCTCCTCGTATAATAAGTACAGTCATACTGTATTTGTGCTTTTGTGACTGGCTTACTTCATTGAGCATAATGGCTTCAGAGTTTACCCGTGTTGTAACAGGTGTTAGAATTTCCTTCCTTTTCAAGGCTAAACAATATTCCATTGCGTGTCTATGCCGCATTTTGTTTATCCATTCGCCTTTCGATGGACATTTGGGTCATTTCCATCTTTTGGTTATTGTGAAAAATGGTGCCATGAACATGGCTGTACCAACATCTGTTTGAGATTTTGGGGGCATATACTCAGAAGAGCAGGCTGCATCGTACGGTAATTCTATGTGTGAGTTTCAAATCTTAAATGTATGTTTAACCTTTGAGAATGAGAGGGATACATTCACAATGTTTTATACACTATTGAGAAAATAAAATCCACCGTAGTGGAAATGTCAGGTTTCATCTATTGGTAAACAATTCAAAGAAATAAATGATCACACATTCAGAGACTTCTAGAAATACTGGATAAACACATTTGAAATTTAAAAATCAACTGGCTCGTGATGATTATCAGAAAAAATGATATCAAGGTTAGCCAAGACATTTGAAATCCATAGATATTCCCCAAACCCAATTTTACTCAACTGTCTCAACCTTACCAGTAAAATCAGATAAAGGGAAGGAAGTAAACTTGATTTTCTCCCTGTTCCCAACTGACTAATGTCCATTTGTTTTTGAAATCGCTGTACCTTTGACACTTAGCACTGACTTAGGAGACCTCAGCTGTGCCCAGAAGGTACAGGAAAGATCAGAACACGGAGACTCAGAGGGCCAGCCAAAGTCACAGGATGGGAGAAGGAGAACATGACCCACCCCCTGCCCCAACTCACTGTCAGCACTCTGTGGTTCTCCTGGCTGGGATGAGTGACCTTGGACAAGGGCCCTGCTCCCTCTGAGCTCCTGGGACGGCCAGAAGATCTAAGAAGATCTGTATACAGACAACACCGGGGGGCACAGAGCTGCGGTTCCTGACGAGTACAAGGAAAAGCGAGAATTTTGTACCAGACTAAGGCCCAGAGATGATTTCTATTTAGTAAGTTTGAGTGGCAATAGTTCTAGAATATATAACATACTTCTGTTGCTTCTCTGTAGCCTTCATCTGCTAGCCAGAGGTCACCATGAGCGCCCACTGTTCTAGCCCCCCGTACGGTACGAGGATCTTCTCGGGAAGATCCGGACGTGATGGGAACCAGAAGAGAACCCAGAGTGACTTTGCTGAAGCAATCCTGTCGGCTGGGTCATGGAGCCTTGAATTTTTCATCGGTGCATTCCCGGTGCCCGGCAGGTGGTAGATACTCAATACAAGGACAGGGTAAATATCCCTCAAGGCGGATTATTCCGGAATGCTGGGAACTTCAATTCCTTCAAGTCACAGCAATTCCAGGAGTCCACAAATATTTACTAAGTGCCTACAATGTGCAAGGCTCTGTTCAAACACTACGAGAGATTCAAAAATAAATCTGTTCCTGCCCTTCAGGATATACTTGAGCGAAGGAACTCACGCAGACCTACCGAAGTGGGGAGGGGTGCCTGGGTGGCTCCGTCGGTTAAGCGGCCGACTCTCCACCGCGTGTTACTGTGATATAAATGAGGAATGAGCCAGGTCAGAGCACAAAGAATGAGTTCCGTCCGGCTGGGGGTGGGTTTTAGAGGCTCCAGAGAAGCGGTGGCAGCTGGGGGACAGCAGGAATAGAACGCCAGCAGACAAGAAATGGGCAGAAAGGGCTGCCCAGGCAGAGAAGACATATGTATGAGCAGCCTGGAGCAGGAAAGGGGGGTTTTTCTACACTACTGATTCACAGAATGATCACTGCTTGTCTCAACTCCATATGCAGCCATGACTTCCGCACACACCCCAGAGGCGTCTGGGTGGGCTGTTTCCTCCACCCCTTGGGGGTGGGGGGCTCATTCCCTGTGTCAGGCACCCCCTCCAATCGCGGAAAGAACAACCATCACGGCCGCGGATTCCGGGGCACCAGCTACGGGCGTGCCACGCTTCACCCACGCCCCACGCGGTGTCCTGGACGTGACCCATTGTGAAGTTCAGGAAACCAAGATCAGAGAGCTGAAGCGACCGGCCAGACGTCACACAGTCAGCCAGCGGCAAAGCTGGGATTCTCACGGGCGACTCAAATGCGTGGTTCAAAGCCGGGGCCTCCGCCCTGCCGGAGCCTCACAAAACACAAAAGGCTCAGTTCTTCTCTCGACGGGGAGCGCGCGCTGTACCCGCTCCTTGACATTTTTTTCTTTTTCTGTTCCACCGGCAACAAAGCGCAGAGGAATGTAGCTGCCCACAGAGTCTCCCAGCCCTTGTAGGAAAGCGTATATCATTATGCCTCCTCCACAGTTTTTAATTGAGAAAATGTCACTATGAAACACCACTCCGACGGGAGACGTTTCCAGGCTCCCCTTCTGTCTCTCCTCCCCACAGGGCCACACTCCCCCTTCCCCGATGCCAGCTTCCCTGTTATCCGCCGAAAGTAACGCCAGAGGTGAGGTTTTCCGGGGCCTCTGGACGGCGAAAGCCCTGACTCAAGACGCCACCCTCCCTCTCTCAGACATACCTGAAGCTCCTATCAGTGACAGAGGACAAAAGCTCTCATTTCAAACCTAGGCACCGCCTGAGAGGGGTGACTGACCCCATAGAGAGGGGGCAGGCCCCGGGAGCCTCTCTGGACGGACTCCGAGTGCAAAGGCCCGGGCCCCGGGGTGAGGGGCGGCCTGTGTGGGGGGATCGGGTCATGTCCCTTAGCGAGGTGCTGCACCCACCCACCAGAACGAGGAGCTGGCCTCCGTTTCTCCCCTTGTCGCTCCCCCAGCTAACATTCAGTGAAATCAGCAAGCCCAAGGCCACGGAATTCGTGAATTCACACAAGGTGCACGTAACCATTATCCCATTCTTCCGAGCACGTTTTGAGCAGAGAGGAATCCAAAAAAAAAAAAAAGATATTAAATGCTTGAAAATGACCGAAGAAAAAAGACACGAAATAAGGAGGTGACCCTTGGGCCACCATAATGCTCTACGCAGGACCATGCGATCTGTCCTCTCACTCTCAGGCCAACTGTCCACATTACTCATATAAATTCTGTACAATCACAAGCAGCCCAGTGCATGCCCAGGGGCCATCCCTCTCCACGCCCCCACCCCAGCGCATGGTCACATCACTTTCTGATTGTGACCCACCTGCCTCCTTCTAATTAGGACCCTTATGATAACATCATTCCCACCAGGAAAACCCAAGCTAATCTCATCTCAAAATACTTAAGATAATCACATCTGTGTTGTAAATTTTCTCACGTAAGGTAACATATTCACAGGTTCCAGGAGCAAGGACCTGGACGTATTTGGGGGGGCGGGGGGGGCCACGTATTTGTGGCCTACCACCACATCTGTAATTTGGGGGCAACATTACTCAGCCTACCACCGCATCCATTACATTTCAACCTCAAATTTTGTTTTTCAAAAATATAATCTCAATCCCAGTTTGAAAACCAAGATACTCTATAATGGATTATATTTCTGTTGCTGCGGCAAGCATTTTCAAGAGGATGTTTCAAGTTTTAGGGTGTTAAATAGAAGACAAAGGGGCCCTGGCTGGCTTAGTTGGTGAAGCACATGACTCTCGATCTTGGGGCTGTGAGTTCGAGCTCCACATTGGGTATAGAGATTACTTAAAAACATAAGATCTTTCAAAAAAGAAAATAAAAGGGAAGAGAAAGGTAAAAAATAAAACATTTTAATCAAGAAGATGAAGGGAAGAGGGCACCTAGGTGGCTCAGTTGGTTATGGGTCAGACTCTTGATCTCAGCTCAGGTCTTGATCTCAGGGTCATGAGTTCAAGCCCCGCCTTGGCTCCATGCTGGGCATCGAGCCTACTTAAAAAAGAAAAAAAAAAAAAAGAAAAAGACAATAAAGGGTAGGCTGAGCAAAATAATGAAAAATCACATCAGCAGTAGATCACAGATTCCTTCCTTAAAGAAATACTGCAAAACCACATGCCTTATGCTAACAAGCAGCTAGAGATCCTACAGTTCCAACTGATCTGGTTACATATGGACATCCAGATTCATCATTCTGCCCCATGCCTCTTCCTGAGTGGGGAGAGGCTCAGGCCACCACTGCCTGGCTCCAGGTTCACTGCTGCTGAAACTCCAACGGTCTCGCCAGCCCTGTGACGCCCGCTGTGAGCCACAGAGGCGCCACCTTTCTGAGCAAAGCACCAGACGCTTGCCCTCGCCCGTCCCCTGCAACCATCATTCTAACACTGCAGACGAGCCACCCAAGCTCTTCCACGTCCTTTGTCAAGGTCAGGAAGTCAAGAGCCTGGCCCGAGGTCACATGCTTCATTACTAGAAGGGGCAGAACCGGCCCAGAGCCAACGCTTTCCACCCCGTAGCCACTGACTCCATCGACAGTGGCTCAGTCTGTTGCGCATCCGACTTTGGCCCAGGTCAGGATCTCATGGTTCCTGAGTTTGAGCCCCGCGTCGGGCTCTGTGCTGAGTGGCCAGAGCTCAGAGCCTGGAGCCTGCTTCAGATTCTGTGTCTCTGGCTCTCTCTGGCCCTCTCCCACTTTCACTCTGTCTCGGTCTCTACCTCTCTCAAAAATAAACATTAAAAAAAATGTTTTAGTAAAAAATGAAAATGAGCCTATCAAAAAAACAAAAATAAAACTGAATGAATAAAAGGGAGCCTATCATCTGAATAAGATGAGCCCGAGAGGCTGAGCCACCGGAGGTTAAATCTGAGGTCCTGGGCGTCAGACAGCCCGGTCTTTGACCTGACTTCTCCTCGCCCAGCTGTGTGACCTTGAGGCAGTGACTAAACCTCTCTGTGCCTCAGTGTCCCCACGTGGAAATGTGAATCAAAACAGCAAGGACCTGGCTGAGCAGTGGTGGAGACAGAATAAGAGGGGAGCAGGGCGCACGCAGTGGGTCTCCTGAGCCTGCACCCTTAGGCACTCAACATGTCAAATGAGGCGTCCCTTTCCTTCCCCTTTGACCTCAAGGGCCTGGCTTCCCTTTAGTCTGGGTTGTCGGGTGGACTCTCCTCTCCAGCCTCTCGTGAGGTTCTCAGCGGCAGCACCCGCAGACATCGGAGCTGAACTAAACTCCGCAGAGAGTTGGCTGTACCTCTTTCAAGCACAACCCTTCCGACTGCCTGCCCACTGCAGCCCCACCCGGACCTCACCGACCTTTCGACCCTGCTTCCCGACGGGCCCACCTCCACACCCGCCACCCTGAACAGGCCAAAGAGCCTC